TTCTGTAAGTGTTGGTTTCCATATGCGTTCCACTTCAGTCGAACCTTCATCATTGTTAGGAACATTGGCACACTCGGGAGGTTCCAACCATTTATCACTCACACACTTGATGGTTTCCATTCCTGGAACAATTTTCCATGGAAAAACTTTCAGTCTGAGTTTGTTGTCTTTTTCCGTAAGGTTGTACCAATCTGTTGGGAAGGCCAAGGCTGCCAGACCCACTTCCCATTCTTGGTGATTAAAATGAATGGGGGGAGTTAAATGAGTGCGATACGTCGAAAGGCTGTTGTCCGGAAACATTCCAATGGAACTGTCACTAGGCAGGGTGAGATAAAAATCGTTCATTTTTCTTCAGTTGGGGTGATGGCAGTAAATAACCCAAACTACTGGATAGCAAAGCCGTCCACAACGTGGTTTGAGGTCCTTCGGGTTTCAGAGCGAGTTGCGACAACGCAATACCCGCGACAATGTAGACCAATATCACTTGACAGAAAAATACAATTTCAGCCTGAGGCACTTGACTTCCTAAACACGCCCAGGATCTGGATCGAATCGATGTTGTCGATGTGGATTCGTCTTGCATGATGTATCTCGACTGTAGATGGTTACTTCTATTTATACTCTACGGTCGATTCAGGAATCCAGGAATTGAAACTAGCAGGGTAATCTTTCCATTTGACGAGTACGTTTTTACCTCGTCGTTCTATGATTTTTTCAATCACGTAAGCCTCGTCTTTGTCTTCTTTCACTTCTTGCAGTTCTTCGGGATAAAACGATCCTTCCAACGGTTCACCGTTTCCATCAATTAATCTATAACGGGATCCTACACTGGGTTTGACTTGAAAAGTTTCCAAAGTCCAATTTGGCCAGTAGCCCTTATCAAAAGCTTTCTGTTTGTCGAGGGCTAACCGTACCGTTGATGTAATGTCGCGTTTTTTCTTGGATGTTTCCCGAGGCAATCGTTGACTAACCAACCATTCGTTTTGAACCGTGACATCTTTCGGGGCCATTCCAATAGTGCGATGCACGGCTGCATTGTAACCTTCTACCAACTTGTCCAAAACATCAATGTAACGTTCCGTTTTCTTGTACGTAAAATATCGCCACATTCTTTGTTTTAAGGTACGTTGAAATCTCTCCACCACACTGGCTTTGGTTTCGGCATTGTGTGTCACGAAAAAGTGAATTTTTTTCTTCTTGAGATAAGTTTAAATTTTCTGTTAAAAATTCTGACC